TTCTTATTTTTTTCTTATTTTTTCTTATTTTTTCTTAGTTTTTCTTATTTTTTCTTAGTTTTTCTTAGTTTTTCTTATTTTTTCTTATTTTTTCTTATTTTTTCTTATTTTTTCTTAGTTTTTCTTATTTTTTCTTAGTTTTTCTTATTTTTTCTTATTTTCTCTTATTTTTTCTTATTTTTTCTTATTTTTTCTTAGTTTTTCTTATTTTTTCTTATTTTTTCTTATTTTTTCTTATTTTTTCTTAGTTTTTCTTATTTTTTCTTATTTTTTCTTATTTTTTCTTATTTTTTCTTATTTTTTCTTATTTTTTCTTAGTTTTTCTTATTTTTTCTTAGTTTTTCTTATTTTTTCTTATTTTTTCTTATTTTTTCTTATTTTTTCTTATTTTTTCTTATTTTTTCTTATTTTTTCTTAGTTTTTCTTATTTTTTCTTATTTTTTTCTTATTTTTTCTTATTTTTTCTTATTTTTTCTTATTTTTTCTTAGTTTTTCTTAGTTTTTCTTATTTTTTTCTTATTTTTTCTTATTTTTTCTTAGTTTTTCTTATTTTTTCTTAGTTTTTCTTATTTTTCTTAGTTTTTCTTAGTTTTTCTTATTTTTTCTTATTTTTTTCTTATTTTTTCTTATTTTTTCTTATTTTTTCTTATTTTTTCTTAGTTTTTCTTAGTTTTTCTTATTTTTTTCTTATTTTTTCTTATTTTTTCTTAGTTTTTCTTATTTTTTCTTAGTTTTTCTTAGTTTTTCTTATTTTTTCTTATTTTTTCTTATTTTTTCTTATTTTTTCTTATTTTTTCTTATTTTTTCTTAGTTTTTCTTATTTTTTCTTAGTTTTTCTTATTTTTTCTTATTTTTTCTTATTTTTTCTTATTTTTTCTTAGTTTTTCTTATTTTTTCTTAGTTTTTCTTATTTTTCTTAGTTTTTCTTAGTTTTTCTTATTTTTTCTTATTTTTTCTTATTTTTTTCTTATTTTTTCTTATTTTTTCTTATTTTTTCTTATTTTTTCTTAGTTTTTCTTATTTTTCTTAGTTTTTCTTAGTTTTTCTTATTTTTTCTTATTTTTTTCTTATTTTTTCTTATTTTTTCTTATTTTTTCTTATTTTTTCTTAGTTTTTCTTAGTTTTTCTTATTTTTTTCTTATTTTTTCTTATTTTTTCTTAGTTTTTCTTATTTTTTCTTAGTTTTTCTTAGTTTTTCTTATTTTTTCTTATTTTTTCTTATTTTTTCTTATTTTTTCTTATTTTTTCTTATTTTTTCTTAGTTTTTCTTATTTTTTCTTAGTTTTTCTTATTTTTTCTTATTTTTTCTTATTTTTTCTTATTTTCTCTTATTTTTTCTTATTTTCTCTTATTTTTTCTTATTTTTTCTTATTTTTTCTTAGTTTTTCTTATTTTTTCTTATTTTTTCTTATTTTTTCTTATTTTTTCTTAGTTTTTCTTATTTTTTCTTATTTTTTCTTATTTTTTCTTATTTTTTCTTATTTTTTCTTATTTTTTCTTATTTTTTCTTATTTTCTCTTATTTTTTCTTATTTTCTCTTATTTTTTCTTATTTTTTCTTATTTTTTCTTAGTTTTTCTTATTTTTTCTTATTTTTTCTTATTTTTTCTTATTTTTTCTTAGTTTTTCTTAGTTTTTCTTATTTTTTCTTATTTTTTCTTATTTTTTCTTATTTTTTCTTATTTTTTCTTATTTTTTCTTATTTTTTCTTATTTTTTCTTATTTTTTCTTATTTTTTCTTATTTTTTCTTAGTTTTTCTTATTTTTTCTTATTTTTTTCTTATTTTTTCTTATTTTTTCTTATTTTTTCTTATTTTTTCTTAGTTTTTCTTAGTTTTTCTTATTTTTTTCTTATTTTTTCTTATTTTTTCTTATTTTTTCTTATTTTTTCTTAGTTTTTCTTATTTTTCTTAGTTTTTCTTATTTTTTCTTATTTTTTCTTAGTTTTTCTTAGTTTTTCTTATTTTTTTCTTATTTTTTCTTATTTTTTCTTATTTTTTCTTAGTTTTTCTTAGTTTTTCTTATTTTTCTTATTTTTTCTTATTTTTTCTTAGTTTTTCTTATTTTTTCTTATTTTTTCTTATTTTTTCTTATTTTTTCTTATTTTTTCTTATTTTTTCTTAGTTTTTCTTATTTTTTCTTATTTTTTCTTATTTTTTCTTATTTTTTCTTATTTTTTCTTAGTTTTTCTTATTTTTTCTTATTTTTTTCTTATTTTTTCTTATTTTTTCTTATTTTTTCTTATTTTTTCTTAGTTTTTCTTAGTTTTTCTTATTTTTTTCTTATTTTTTCTTATTTTTTCTTAGTTTTTCTTATTTTTTCTTAGTTTTTCTTATTTTTCTTAGTTTTTCTTATTTTTTCTTATTTTTTCTTAGTTTTCAGAAGATTTTCAGATTAAAAATGGTGATAATTCTGATGGGGCGTATGGGCATGGCACCCGATTTTAACGAATCATAAAGCAGTAAAGATTTGATACAGCCATTTACTCGTGTATTAAAAATTCCATTTCAATAGTATTGTAAATATTTAAATTTTTTGTAAATCAATAAATTGTGTAAATTTTTTTATAAATTGTGTAAATTTTTTAGGAAACGAGTTACTTAAGTATCATAACTGAAATTTTTCAAATTAAGTGAATCCGGGTGTATGAGATGTTGTTCGATAGGTCTTGGGGAGTGGAACAAAAAATCTAATAAAAAGTATCATCAAATAAAAAATTATTTGATAAGGTTCTAACGTTAGTATGCTTAAATTTTCTGAAATTGTATTCTTGATTTCTGAAATTTAAAATGTGTTCTTCTCAGTTTTAAATTCTGATTTAAATTTTATTAAATTTCCTTTTAATTCTTATTTATGTTTATTAAAAATAAATTTTTGTTTTGCACTCTTAAAAATAAGAATGTTTGATTTTGAAATTATTAAGAATTTAATAAGACGGTTTTTTAAAATTTTTTTTAAAGTTGCACTTTTAAAAGAAAACAATTTTTTGTTTTTTTTTATTTTGCCGAAAATTTTGTCAACTTGTATTTTAATAAGGATAGGGCATTTTAGTTACACGTTAACATTTATTAAAAAATTTTTTTTCAAAGACTCGACGCCGCCCATGTGAAGTCTATACACTCTCTTCATTTTTATTATTTCATAATTTATTTTTTAAAGCATTTTAATTAATTTATTATTTAAGAAAGTTAAAAATTGGATAAATATAAACAGAACTCGATTTTGATTTTACGCGTTAGTCGATTTGGTCCCTAGAGCTAGTTTTAGCCTTATTTTGCTCATTATTAACTCGCTTTCCTTTTGTTAGAAAAATATGGTCCGAGAGGTGTCGTTTTAGAGAGATTCCATAGAAAGTCAATGGCTTTCTGCTTTTACAAGGACAGACAAGTTTGACATAAGTGCTCTATTTTTGGCCTCATACCTTGTATTTTTTAACTTTCTAGCTTCTATCCGTATCCTATCTGAAGAAAATTTTGAAAAACTGATCTTCTGTCTCCATAAAACCAATAAATTATTATTTTATAATTTATTTTTCGTTTAGATGAAGCATAAATTGTTAAAATTCACCTTTCCAAAAATTAATTTAATTATTCTACTTTGTATATTTCTATTTATTCTGATTTCTTCAATTTCCTGTAATTATCCTATTTCTGTGCAAATATCTGGAGATTGGACAAAACTTCGGGAATTTCAATGGCTTGTTCCTGTGGACCCAGAAAAACGTTTTAAATGCTTTGTTTTTAGCGAAAATATGAAAAAATATAGGGAAAATTAATCTCAGTAGATGAAGGAAATGACATGATATTCTCTTTTATGATATCTTCCAATGAGAAAGACAAGCTAAAAGGACTTTGGCAAATTGAATGCATTGTTTGTATGCCTGTATTTATTCAAACGTTAATAAAGAATTTGGAGTTTCAAGTCAGTAAATTAGATTGTTTAAATTTTATTATGATAAAATTCAGGGTTAATTCGGGGTAAAAAAATAAAAAAAAATAGTTAAAAATAAATATATTACTATCATTTAAGAGCATCAGACGTTTCTTTACAATTAATGAATTGGAGTTAAACAAGCCCATCAACGTTTCTTTTCAAAACAGAACTGTCAAATATGCAAACATTGCTGACAAGATAAAAAATGATCGTCCCAAATATCAACATTTGAGTGATCTTCAATACGAGCACAAAACATTGCGAATAATTTCTATATATGAAAAATATATAAATGACGAAGAAAAACAGTTTTGGAGGGAATACAAATATGCACTTATATATTTACAAATGTATAATATTGCGTTAATAAAGGATGTGCATTCAATATATCCTAACGAAATGGATCGCAAACACAATGAATTTTTGTTGAATAAATTTTATGATAAGATGATTGAAATTGCTTCAGAGTTGAAAACCGATGGTGAGAAAGTTAAAAGAATTCTAAAATATTACAATTTCTGTATCAGCATAATATTTTTCCCTACAAATTATTGAATAGATTTTAGCACTAACTAGTAATTTTTAATAATATTTTTCCATATAGAAAAATCAAATCAACAAAAACAAGAAAAATTGCCTTTGAGTACGGTATATTATGCTATGACATTCTTAAAAGACAAACTACAACCATCTATTGCGAATAACACTCCAATAGCTACAAAATTACCAATGGAGGACAATACAATATTTCAAGGTAACCTACAAAATGAATCCTACAAATTACAAGGGAACCTTTCGAACTGTCAGTAAAAATTTAAAAATTATACCACAGCGTTTTTAAGTATTTTCTTATATAAATTCAAAATAAAAATTTAAAGGCCAATCGCCAAGTAATTTGTTAAACATCAACCCTGAGATTATAACACAGCAAGTCCAAAAGGATATTCAAATCCAAACAGATATAAATTCTAAATATAATATGAATCAGCCATTGAATTTTAAAGGGAAAGAAGCTGTGAGATTTCAACCTATTGCTAGACCAGGTAAAAGTGAAACAATCAAGAATAGTATTTTTTAATTGGCACATTTTCAGCAATGTCTCATCATACAACCATACCACAAATAACGGTTCACCAGAGAACGGCTCCACCATATATGCATCAACAAACAAAGATTTCTCAAAGTAGACAACAGACTTCGGTCCACCAAACAACATCCCCTCCGTATATATACCATACATTTCCTCAAATTAGATCGCAAACATCAATTCCACAGATTAGACCACAAGCAACATTTCATCAAACAACGGTTCAGAATAGACCACAAACATCGTTTCAACAGACTGTTACTCATGCTAGGCCACAAACGACGATTCCTCAGATTCGATTACAGACTACTACCCATCTGACTACGGTTCCTCCATCTTTACAACATACGATTCCTATAATTCCACATGTACATCAGACTAGACCACTGGCTTCTGTCCACCAGACACCGATTCCTCAAATCAGATCGCAAATACCTTACCACCAGACAACAGTTCCTCCATCCACACACCATACGGTTCCTACAATTGGATCAAAAACAGCAAATCCTCAGATTAGACTAACTTATTTAAAAAACGATATACTTAATATAAACAATATTGTTAACTATATGTCAGAAGCAATAAATGCGTTCATTACCAATTCATCTGAATTTCATCGCCTGATTACTATGCATAAATTGAATGAATACCATAAAAAATTTTACGAGCAATATAAAAAGCTGGACCATTTAAAAGATTTAAAGGTTCTTAACAAGCCAGAGAAAGAATTGTTATCACTCTTGGAACAGCAAATATCAAATCTAGTCAAGGGAATAAATCATTTAAATATTTTAATGAAATTATTTGAAAGAGATAACAATACGTTGGAAGATATACAATTTTTGTTTGGAAAGATTTTAACTGAATATAGAACAATTAAAGATAAAATAATAAATTTGATAAACCGAAATAATGAACAAATGATACAAAAAATGAGTCAAAGTAGCTCATCAATTTTAGGTTTGAATCTATGGTATATAAGGGCCTAACTTTGTCTGAGTCATCGATGTTGATTTACCTAGAAGCATCTAAACCGCTTCGTCGGATTAAACAATCTAAAGGGGAGGTAAGCATAAGCAAAGTATCCCCCCAAGTAGATTTTTTGTTAAAAATGTAAAACTTTTGCTAAACTCTTATTATGTTCTTTATGTTCGAAAAGCTGAATCAAAGCTCCTTTCGTTAATTCAAACAAAATCTTAGCTTTGCAGCAGAGGGCCCTCCCACATTTTTAAAATCGCAAGGCGGAAAACGGAAGAAAATATAAAACATAAGAAGGTAGCAGGAATGGACAAAAAGACGGAGTAATGCGGAAGATGGAAGCGGAAGAGATCCTTTCCCTGATCTGCAGTATATCAAATTGTACCCAATTTTAGGTCAACAAAACACCAATACAGAACAAGATAGAAATAACAATTTAGATTTATATCAACAATTGCTTCTAATGAAAGATAAAAGTGTTCAACAAGAATTTGGACAAAATTTGCAAACAGGTATTAATCACTAAAATTATTACGCCTGTTTGTTAACGATCAATTTATTTAACAGAACAAAATATTGGACAACAATTAAAAGAAAAACAAATCCAAAAAAGCATTTTAGAAACTCCTAATGTTGCAAGAAATAAACAATCTTTTACTATAATAGAGTCTAGCAAAGGAAATAGTTCTTATAACCCATTAATAGATTTGACAGAAGACGATATTGAAGAAACGAATGAACAGACAGGTTGTTTTGTTTAACTCAATGAGTTTCTTTCTAAATTGAGTCGTGCCGTTCGGACAAGAGCTGCACGAAAATATCGTTTCGTGATTGTCTTAAGGTTTAACTAAATAGCGTTTATCTTAAAATCTAATTTACTCTATAAATATTTAAGATGAACAAGCAGCTAAACCAACAGATGTGGATACTTTTACTAAAAGAAATGAGCAAATTAAACAAGATGAATTAAGAAAAATTAAAGGAAAAGCTGTCGTCAACGAAGGACAAAGTGAAAAAATGAATGAAGTTATTGTAGAAACATTAAAGTGTAATGAACAACTTGAAGATATTGATGAATTAGAACAAATGGAAATGGAACTAGCAATGGCAGCTTCTAGGGAACAATACAAAGAGGATTTGGAAAATGTAGGAAATTAAAAAATCCAATCTAATATATTTCCTGTTCGTTCTTCTGTTTAAGGGACCCTTCATTCTAAAAAACGCCATAACTCTAGGAATAGCGTTATGGCGTCATTTTTGGTCGATTTTGGAGTTCTAACGTTTGGTGTATTTTTTATAATTTGAAGGCCATAAACCCAAAAAGTAATTTCTAAAATAAGTAGAGATTCTAATAAATCCAAGCATTTTTAAGTAATATAATATAACCAATTTAAGCAATATCTAAAAATGTGCCCAAACCGCAACGAAGGGGAAGCATCAAAAGCTGGCTGGTGTATTTCTCATGATTCTAATGCTGTAAACAATCATCCAAAAAATCTTGAAGAGGAAATTAATAAAAATATACAAACTAGTAAAGCAGAAAAGTCAAAAGGAAAAGATGCTAGTCAGAAAAGGAAAATGGCAAAAAATTTGGCAAAACGAAAGTCTTCAGGTGGAAAGGTAAAATCAAAGGACCATTCATATTTAGCTATTACAAAAGCATTGAATGAAGTAAGGAAACGCAAGAAAGAGAAGAAAGAAGAATAAAAAGATTACAGAACTATAGAAAAATTAATCAGAATGTATTAGAATAATTTGAAAAAAAGTAAAAATTTGTTGATAAATTGTAATGTAAAGGAATTAAACATTAAAAATTTTTAATCAATTATTTTAACGGATATATCAGTTAAGTTATAGCGGCTCCAAACCATTTCCAAACCATGGCTCCAAACCATTTTCCAGAAAGGCCTTAAATCGAGCTATAATGTTCTTTTTTTATCTGTGTAGAATCAAGTCTCAAGCTGTTACCGAAAGATTATTTATATAATTTATTTATTATACTATTAATAAAGAAATATAATTGAAAATATAACTATAAATTATGAAGGCAAATATATTTTTCTAACTATAATATGTTCTTTTTTTATATGTGTAGAATTAATTTCTCAAGCTGTTACCGAAAGATTATTTATATAATTTATTTATTATACTATTAATAAAGAAATATAATTGAATATATAACTATAAATTATGAAGGCAAATATATTCTTCTAACTATAATATGTTCTTTTTTTATCTGTGTAGAATCAAGTCTCATGCAGTTACCGAAAGATTATTTATATAATTTATTTATTATACTATTAATAAAGAAATATAATTGAAAATATGACTATAAATTATGAAGGCAAATATATTCTTCTAACTATGATATGTTCTTTTTTTATCCGTGTAGAATCAAGTCTCAAGCTGTTACCGAAAGATTATTTATATAATTTATTTATTATACTATTAATAAAAAAATATAATTGAAAATATAACTATAAATTATGAAGGCAAATATATTCTTCTAACTATAATATGTTCTTTTTTTATATGTGTAGAATTAATTTCTCAAGCTGTTACCGAAAGATTATTTATATAATTTATTTATTATACTATTAATAAAGAAATATAATTGAAAATATGACTATAAATTATAAAGGCAAATATATTCTTCTAACTATAATATGTTCTTTTTTTATCCGTGTAGAATCAAGTCTCAAGCTGTTACCGAAAGATTATTTATATAATTTATTCATTATAATATTAATAAAGAAATATAATTGAATATATAACTATAAATTATGAAGGAAAATATATTCTTATAACTATAATATGTTCTTTTGTTATCTGTGTAGAATCAAGTCTCAAGCTGTTACCGAAAGATTATTTATATAATTAATTTATTATACTATTAATAAAGAAATATAATTGAAAATATGACTATAAATTATGAAGGTAAATATATTCTTCTAACTATAATATGTTCTTTTGTTATCTGTGTAGAATCAAGTCTCAAGCTGTTACCGAAAGATTATTTATATAATTAATTTATTATACTATTAATAAAGAAATATAATTTAAAATATGACTATAAATTATGAAGGTAAATATATTCTTCTAACTATAATATGTTCTTTTTTTATCTGTGTAGAATCAAGTCTCAAGCTGTTACCGAAAGATTATTTATATAATTTATTTATTATACTATTAATAAAGAAATATAATTGAAAATATGACTATAAATTATGAAGGCAAATATATTCTTCTAACTATAATATATTCTTTTTTTATATGTTTAGAATTAATTTCTCAAGCAGTTACCGAAAGTTTATTTATATAATTTATTTATTATACTATTAATAAAGAAATATAATTGAAAATATGACTATAAATTATGAAGGCAAATATATTCTTCTAACTATAATATATTCTTTTTTTATCTGTGTAGAATCAAGTCTCAAGCAGTTACCGAAAGATTATTTATATAATTTATTTATTATACTATTAATAAAGAAATATAATTTAAAATATGACTATAAATTATGAAGGCAAATATATTCTTCTAACTATAATATATTCTTTTTTTATATGTGTAGAATTAATTTCTCAAGCTGTTACCGAAAGATTATTTATATAATTTATTTATTATACTATTAATAAAGAAATATAATTGAATATATAACTATAAATTATGAAGGCAAATATATTCTTCTAACTATAATATGTTCTTTTTTTATCTGTGTAGAATCAAGTCTCATGCAGTTACCGAAAGATTATTTATATAATTTATTTATTATACTATTAATAAAGAAATATAATTGAAAATATGACTATAAATTATGAAGGCAAATATATTCTTCTAACTATGATATGTTCTTTTTTTATCCGTGTAGAATCAAGTCTCAAGCTGTTACCGAAAGATTATTTATATAATTTATTTATTATACTATTAATAAAAAAATATAATTGAAAATATAACTATAAATTATGAAGGCAAATATATTCTTCTAACTATAATATGTTCTTTTTTTATATGTGTAGAATTAATTTCTCAAGCTGTTACCGAAAGATTATTTATATAATTTATTTATTATACTATTAATAAAGAAATATAATTGAAAATATGACTATAAATTATAAAGGCAAATATATTCTTCTAACTATAATATGTTCTTTTTTTATCCGTGTAGAATCAAGTCTCAAGCTGTTACCGAAAGATTATTTAAAAAATTTATTTATTATACTATTAATAAAGAAATATAATTGAATATATAACTATAAATTATGAAGGAAAATATATTCTTCTAACTATGATATGTTCTTTTTTTATCTGTGTAGAATCAAGTCTCAAGCAGTTACCGAAAGATTATTTATATAATTTATTTATTATACTATTAATAAAGAAATATAATTGAAAATATGACTATAAATTATGAAGGCAAATATATTCTTCTAACTATAATATATTCTTTTTTTATATGTTTAGAATTAATTTCTCAAGCAGTTACCGAAAGATTATTTATATAATTTATTTATTATACTATTAATAAAGAAATATAATTTAAAATATGACTATAAATTATGAAGGCAAATATATTCTTCTAACTATAATATGTTCTTTTTTTATCTGTGTAGAATCAAGTCTCAAGCAGTTACCGAAAGATTATTTATATAATTTATTTATTATACTATTAATAAAGAAATATAATTTAAAATATGACTATAAATTATGAAGGCAAATATATTCTTCTAACTATAATATATTCTTTTTTTATATGTTTAGAATTAATTTCTCAAGCAGTTACCGAAAGATTATTTATATAATTTATTTATTATACTATTAATAAAGAAATATAATTTAAAATATGACTATAAATTATGAAGGCAAATATATTCTTCTAACTATAATATGTTCTTTTTTTATCTGTGTAGAATCAAGTCTCAAGCAGTTACCGAAAGATTATTTATATAATTTATTTATTATACTATTAATAAAGAAATATAATTGAAAATATGACTATAAATTATG